GCTTTCAAACCTTCCAACTCACAAGTATTTTGCTTTTCAAATCTATACAAGTTCTCCAAACTTTAAAGCTCTCCAAACAGACAATAATAAGAGTAACACACAAGCTCTCTAAATAACAACACAAATTGAAACTATCGACACTTTACAATGACCCCTGTAACTATCTCCGAGCTCCTTGAACTGCTGCAAGTACCACATACTTGCAAAAGAAATAAATAAATATTAGTATGTCACAAATAAAAAAAATCATCAAATTAAAAATGCTGGAGAATAGTAAATCTAGTTACTAGTAAAACAAAAGTACTGGAAAGCCAAGAAAAGCTAGGTACTAAAAATCTAGTAGAGCAACAGTACTAAAAAACTAGTAAAGTAATAGTATCAGAAAATAAGTAGAGTAGTGGACTACTACGGTAAAAAAAGACTATGAGCATAGAACAACTAAAATACTAACACAGTGTCAAAATCTCAAAGTGTCAAAATTACAAATTCAAACCAAACTCAAACAAGTATATAACAAACTTCCAAACATTGTATAAGAAACTACTATCTATTCAAATAATCAAAACCTCTGGGCAGCCTTATTTTATAATAACTTAGTTGTAAGACCCACCACTTGGCGACATTCCAAGGAAAGAAGTAAGCCCAACCTTATGGGAGAGTTTTAGTAAAATTGACCTAACCCCTAACCAACAATTAAAACACCAGCAACTTCTAATAAAAGTCGTAAGTCCGACCTCTGAATGAAACTTAGCTTATCGAGCTAGGTCACAAGACCCATCATTAGGTAACTTCTAAAAAAACACTAAGACCTAACCAACTAAAATATTCAGGCTACCTTTGTTGGAGGCCATAAGTCCCATTAATTGGGACATTTTCTAATGAAAATCATAAGTCCCTATCTAAATCTAATCACACGATTAACTCTTGTTGAAAAATCAAGTTAAAAGCCTCAAGAGGGAATTTCATCTTTAAATAATGCTTTAAAATATAATAATTATGTTATTAATCTCATGTCGAAAGCATGTGGAATTTCTATTGTAAGATCTTCTACAAAACACAAAAATTTCATGGGCATCCTAGTCTATAGGATTATGTTGTTAGACACTTTTGGGCAATTTCTAAGTCATAACTCATAAGACCCATATTTTAGGAGAATTGTTAAATAAATTACAATGATTGTAAACCTCAAACAATCCAACCCAAACCACTGGACATCCTAGTCTATAGGATTAGATTATAAGACCCGCTATCGCGCAACTTCTAACGGAAGTCATAAGCCCCATATTTTATGAAAATTGCTAAATAAATCGTAATGATCCTAAATCCCAAATAATAAAATTTAAACCTATGGACATCTTAGTCTAAAAGGATTAAGCTGTAAGATTCGCTTTTTTCAGACTACTTCCTAAGGGAAGCCATAAGTCCTACCCAAATAATTAAAACCTTTGGGCAGTCTTGCTATAAAGTTAGGTTGTAGGACCCATCCTTGGTCAACTCATAAATAGAGTAATAAACCCCATCTTAAATCAACTACCTTGGTTACTTTCTACGAAAGTCATAAATCTCAACCTAAATCTAAATACCTGGGTTACTTCCCAAAGAAGTCATAACACCCGCTCCAATCCAAACTCTTGGATTACTTCTAAACGAAGTCATAAATCCCAAACTAATTCAACTATTGGGTATTCTAATAGATATAAATCCCAAGACACCTAACAAAACTAAAATTTACATCTAACCACTTCAGTCTACTCGTGATCTCTGAGAAGAGGCATCCCATGGCTGCTAATCAGATTCTTTGGACACTACGGTGATGATTATTAGTGTTCGTAAACTAAAAATATGGTTTATACGGGACGACAGAATCATAAGATCTTGATCAATTTTACCTCTATTTTCCCCACAATTGAGACTAAATTACCTAGAATTTATTCATCCTTAATCGAGAGTTCTCTCTTATGTGTTAAGAGGGATAATTAACTATGAATGCTTGCGCTCATAAGAAGTAATGACCCCAAATTTAATTAAATCCTAGCACTACCTCAGGGAAAATCTTGTTAACTACAATCTGACTCAAGGAAAATTGAATCCTACAGCTGCAAAGTGGGATTTATGCATTCATGCCATATTTCTTGAGCCAACAGGGACGATCAAATATCGTCCCATGTACCTCTCAAGTCGTCCATGACGATCTTCACTGATCGTCTTGGACGATCGAATTGAACTGATTAACCATAATTAGTCCCCTAATCACATGATCAATTTAGGCATGATTGTCATTGATTGTCCAGTACGATGTACCTCATCCTAGACGATTAGAATAAAATATGAAATTCAAAACCTTGTGTAAATTACGATTGACGGCTATTTTTCATGATCATTACTAATTGTCATGGATGATCTAAATTGTCCAGTATGATTTGTTAGAAGAGTTGATCGTATAGTGCCATATAAATCGTATAATACGACTAGTTCAAAAATTGAACTTCTAGTTTTGACTCAATCTCACTCCCCCCCCCCCCCCCCCCCCCCGAGTGTGCGTGCATGATTACCAAGCAAGCATACACCTTTACAGATCTTGACTCAAGAAATAAAAAAATACATCAATGAGTATTAAAAAAATTATTTCAACATAAACTATTCTATCCAATCTTGAGCCTTGAATCTTCATTGGATGGTGTATGGTGTTCCTGAAAAGTTAGTACACACAAATAAAAATATATTGTAAATACAAGTAGACAACAAGATGTGAGTTACAAAGTTTGTTATAATCATAACTATAAATTCATGAGCTCGAGTTGCAATAAAATTTCGTTAACTTGACTAAGAGGGAGACAAACATTTAGGCTTTATAATGCAAAAATAAGGCTACTACAAGACCATATGGTTTTAGGACGTTAAACACACAACCATTACTTAGAAACCTAGGGCTTTTCCTAAGTATTAAGGGATTTTACCTCACTACGTTGTCATGGTGCAGCCCACTATCCACTTGCCTTGTCAAAAGGAGAGAAATCGAAGGAAGAATGAAGGAAGTGGTTTGTTGTCCAAGCCACTTCGGTAGGTGGCTTTTTGAACCACTGATTTGTTTGCCACGAGCTCGCCGGAGTTGATGGAAAAGGAAGAAGAAGCTGTTATGCTCTTCTTGGATGGAAACGGGAGGCCATATTAGCCTTCTAACTTCAGTTTTCTTAGTCACTGATAATATGAAGTAGCAATCCAATTCCCAGGTACTTTTTTTTGCTTGGATACATGCTGGAAAATGTTGATGAAGCTTTACTGTCACTTGATCAGCCCAGACAGACAACCTAGAAGCCCAGACACACTCTCCCTTGTGTTCGATCCGACCTTAAACGCGCAAAGAGAAGTACATGTGGCCCCCGATCCCTGCTGATTTGGTTGCAAGAAGCAGGTGAATCTGCCAACCCCTCTTTGGCTCCGTCTGGCTCAAATACATATACAGAGGCTGGATGCATTGCTTGCAGGATGCCGACCCTTCTCCCACACCCTCCTCTAGGGTCGAACCAACGAAGGCCATAGCAGCCCATTGCCTTCACTTCGTTATCCCTCTGCCTCGACTGGAAGGTCTGCACGCATGCTAGAAACACCTGGCTGATTTATTTTCTTCTCAACTCTCTAGGTCGAAAACATAAAGAAAACAAAGCTCAATGGTCTCCTCTCTCTCCCACTCTCTCTATGCAGGAAATGAGGTATCGGGCTATTCGAGACGATATGCAAGATCGCTGCTATACCCGCCAAAATTAGAAGGAAAAGACGGTCTAGCAGCTCTGAATTCAATTGGAGCCGTTCGATTTAACTTCTAGATTTGGGAAGTCAATTGAATCAAGATTTGTTCAAATATAACTGAAATTCAGTCCGAATTGGACTCAACCTGAACCGATTTGAATCGATTCGAGTCGAAGTAAGTCTGATCGAGCCAATTTTGCAAATCTGGCCTCAAATCGACGCCAAATTATGTCAAATTTGGTTTGATGAGGCTTATTTGTGTTCGATTTGGATTTATTTTGGGTTGGTATGATCAATTTAGGTCCATTTCAATTAATTCGATTTTAATTTGATGAAATTGAATTTAATTTTATTAAATTGAGATTCGATTTTAGTGAATTAACGTTCGATGACAATCGATTGAGTCGATTGAGCACAATCGAGCCTAGTCGGGCTCGAATTGGCACGATCCGGGTTAAATCGGGCTTGAAGTGAAAATATATGTCAGCAAGCAAGTGAATCCCTTCTAAAATGGGAAACTTTATTTATTCTACATCGCATTAATATATTGTTAGCAAGGCCTTTGACCAGTTTTAAAAAGTTTGTAAACAGCGATTTTGGATATTTTGTGGAAGTACAAAATATCTAGGGAAATTATTAAAAATTATAGAAAATATTAGGAACTTGTCAAAATTCCTAGAAAAGTTTTTTTTAATTCCAAAATAAATTTCAAAATAAAATGCAAGTTCCTTCTTACATACTTGAAGTAGAAGTTTGAGTTCAAATTTCTCATTTTGTTATTAAAATATTTAAAAAGTACCAAAAATCCTAAATAATAAAAAATAAAAGAAAATCGGGTAAAATTGTTTGAAATTTTTGACATGTTGGACTAGATTCCTTGCCTCTCAACAGCAATGCGGACATGACTTGTGTCCAGACATCCTTCTAAAAATAAAATAATGTCGTATTTATAACTTAATGAAGTTTGTTATTTTGTCAATTCCCTTGACAAGTCCGTTCTGTTAGGATTGATTATTTAATTTAAACAGCACTCTGGTTATCCCAATAATTTAGATTATTTAAGGTAACTATTTTCATCTGATTATTTGACGGTCAGCTTGGGTGTTTGTATTATTGTCTTTGTGTGTGCCAATATGCTAATAATTCTGAGATAAAAACATGCTGAAATAAAAAAGCCCACAATAGATTACCATATCATGAATGTCTACATGCCTGAATATTGTGATAAAGCTTGTAGTCTTAAAACTTCTCAGATTTCAGCATATCCGAAGGCAACTGCTGTGCTTGTACGGAATCATGGGATATATGTCTGGGGAGATTCTTGGATAAGTGCCAAGACTCAGGTTTGTTCCTTCCAAAATTGCACTTTTGTCTCCTTCAGATATAGTTTTTATATTTTGATTGTTCTTTCCTAATTGAATCATGATTGGTTTCCGAGATTTTTGCATGCATAGCTGTCTCCCACTTCATTGAATGTAGTACACCTTTCAGGCTTTTCCACTTTATGCAGCAAGCTTTTACGGAGTCAAAAGAATCGTAACACGTTTAATTTTTGTTGCGTCTGCTTATTTATAAACGGATTTTGCAAGTCCACTTTTCACGATTGGAGTAGACACATTATGCATGTACATATATTGATAATAAACAGAGAAGAAAATACTTCAATTCTTGTTTTCAATGAGGTAGAATGGTACAGATTTTATATTAGATTACACAGCACAATCAGTCGTTCCGAGAATAACACAAATTAAACTCATAAACGATCATAAGAGAAAAAAATAAAAATAAAAAGCTGGAAAGATATATAAGTAAACGGAAATGTTTCTAAATGCACAAGGCCAGGCCAGGAAGTTGAATGCATGATAATATCGTTCCCCTTTACTCCTTCGCATGGAAAGAAGTGTCCATTAGAATATTGGAAATCAGGATGTCCTTGATTTGATGATTCAGCGGAATTCTCCTTGAATGGAAGATGGGGAAATGATGGACTTGATTTGTATTTGTAGATCCAGATTATCAATCGGTCACTGACACCTTGTTCCTTTTTTTCTTTAAATGCAATCATTTTTACTGTAAACATTTGACCGAAGGTTACATTTTATCTACCGTATTCTAATGTTATGAGTTTGAAATAAGCAAGCAATCTCATTGCTTTGTTGGGACGAGGTTATGCATAGAAAACCCTCCCCGAACTATGAGTGGTGAGAGCCTCATCTTCTTTTAAAGATACAACTATGTTATTTTATATGTTTAAATGTCACTTGTTCTAAGATGTAAGATGTTTGTTTTCAAGTTCATTAATTGTAGGGTATGGCTTATGAGGATATGGTCTCGTTAATTTGATGAATGTATTCTTATGCAAAGTTTGAAGGGTATGATATTCATTTTTTTCTGGATTATACCTGGAAAGGGACTTGCCTCCTAGAGTTTCACGTTTTTTCCTTCTCTCGTGACCTCAGTAATCAACGTCTTACCCCTTGAATCCAAGACTATAACAATCAAAAACTCTATTCTCCTGGGATTGTAGCTCCTTTAGCTGCTATTGATTCACAGTGTTGTAGTTACCGTAGACACTTTCTTATTGCAATTTTATTTCTTTCGTTCCTTAGTCCTGGCACTGTATACTTGGCGACAAATTCTGTTGTCCGCTTTTTCTTGTTGCTTTCTATGAAGTATGTTTCCCATTTGTTTCTTTCTCATCATGTGCTGGAATTAAGACATTCTTGTGACAGAATTAATGAAACATATTTTATTTGACCAGTGCGGGCTCCGAAAATTTGCGCCCTTTTCTCTTTGCGGTCCCTTTTCTTTGGGCCTTGAGGAGAGTTTTAATGAGTTTGTTTCAAGGCTGATTTTCAGAAGATACATTGAGTTTTGAATAAGATATTAACAAGAGATTTTGCCCTCATTTTTTTATGACTTTATGATATGAGTTCAAGTTTCTTATAGGCGCAGGCCCCTTTAGTTAATTACCCCTCTCGATTGCGAGAGAGAACTTTTGAAGAAGGCTAGTCGTCACCTTTCTATTTTTAAAGAAGATTGGATGGTGGTGGTGGGAGATGTTGATAGACTCGATCAAGATCCCTTAGTTCCGACGTCCCGAGTCATCATAATCTATGGTCTACTTAGTTATAGGTGGTAGTCAACACTACCTGAAAGAAGGATTCTCATCGGCAACCATGGGTTGCTTCGTCTAAGGACACCTTGTAAACAAGGGGTGAATGTTTGTCTAAGAGGAAAAATTTAAATCCACCTAAGATAACATAGGGCTTTGTGCCCTATCGCCATACCCTATTTATTCATTACTCAAGGATTTGAAGCCGTTGGGGAACATACGAGCTCTGACCATAACCGTAATTTAATCGTGCCATTTGGCAGCAAAACCACCCGGCCAGAGAGTCCTGGTCATAACCGTTTGCATGTGGTGCCATTTGACAGTGAAAACACCAGTTATAGGACGTGCTACATCCTTTCTGGCAAAAGACAGTTTGAGAATTAATCCAAGTGATATTCTCAACCAGACATTTACTATTTATGAGCTAAAGTGATTTTAAGATTTATCCACCTTGGCAAACTATTGCGGGAGGTGAATGGTATTTTGCTTTAAGTGTTTAGGCGTTTTTATTTCAATTTTAAATATTTAGGTTTTGGTTACTTTTAAGTTTTGAATTTTCATAGGAATTTATAGGTATTTTCAAATATTTGGAGTCCTCTCCAGTTGAGATTTTCTGTCAACACGGCCACCATCGGGATACTTATGGGCAATTTCATTTTGTTGGCCGAGCCTTGTCGACTTTGTCAATTTGCCGACAAAGAATTAGGTTTGTTGTCGGCTTTATGCCTTTATTAATGGTTTTTTCTTGTTATAGATCTTTAAGGCCTAATATGAACGCATACAACAAATATCCCGATTGATGCCACAACGGTATATTTGTTTGATAGTTTGAGTTGTGTCGACTATTATCTATTCACATAGAAGGATCGGACTCAAACTTAAATTCATTTTTTGGCCCGCATAGGATCCTCAGCTTCACGTGTAACTATAACAGCTCACGAGGGCCCATGCGAGTATATGATGTTGAATGTATTTTGCATGATGTATTTATGTGATAGCTATTTATATACAGTGCAGTGTATGTATGAGACATGTTTGCATGTTAACATACTCGTGTATGTACTTGTGTATTTACATGTATGCATGTATTTTGTTTTTTTGCATTTGCATAATGATTATTCGTGTTTGCATGATATGTTGGTATGTAATGCAGTGGCTTAATGCATGATCATAGTGCATGATGTATTTAATTGATATTTTGCATGTTGCAATATGCGTATACTCTACATACCTTCCAAACATTTGTAAAGTGTGTATGTATGTTCCTAATGCATTAATGCATGTTTGAATGTATGAGGCGGTCTTTTATTATATTCAAACATGAATTGTGTAAATGATGATCATTTGAATGATGCACCTATTTAGAAGCCTCTAAACACCTTCTGTCCGCTTGTGTGCATGTGAAAATCTAGTAGCATTGTTTAATAGCATGATAAGCTTCATTTGTTGTGCTTCGGCAATACAATTTATCTCACTTCATCATCTGCATGTTGTCATTTTTTTCAATACTCAGCTTACAGGAGTTTATTTTAGCCTGCAAACAAGCTACGCGGTGCGTCAGGGCCCTCCTACTTGTCGCTTGCAAGTAGACTGATTTATTTAGTATGACAGCCTGGCGCCTCACATTTACTTCCTCAATTTACCAATGGCCCGCTACTTTTACTACCAATTTACTGCCTTTGATTACTAGTGAATTATAACATTGCGTTGCAGGTTGCTTGTTCCTTCTTGTAGGTGAGCCATCATGCAATGACAAACTTCTTGCAGTTGCTCGTAGATACTTGCATTCATCGTAGGCTTATTTCTTTTGCCTGCAAGCAATATGTCATTCTTGTTGCAATCTTTTTACTTAAACCTGAAGGAGATTCATCATACTTAGAGTACATTCACCGTCATTGTTTGTAGGTATGATCGCTATATATATTACAAACCTTTCACTGTCATATGCAGGCAAATTGCACTTAATGCAATTCTTCTAATGCTGCCCAGAGGTAGACATTTGTATGCATGATGAATCATCTACTATTTGTTTATAAATGTTGCTATGGATCACCTACTGCTTCCTTGAGGCATGGTGTCAGGCACTTCACATCCTCTTAGTGCTTCCTGCAGGTGGGTTGTTATGTACATTATAGGTCTCTAGGCGTCGTATCCTGATGAATTGTATTCAGTGCGACATCCATCAGCATTGCCTGTTGATGGTTCGTGGCACTGCGCCACGGGTCGTTTGCTATTTTCTATATGTGAACTGTCATGCACTCACAAATTTCTTGCAGTGGTTTTTAGACGCATGTATCTATTACAATCCTTCTACATTTGTTCGTAGATAGTATGTTGTGTTTATGACCATGCTCGCATAGGATCCATTACACTTGCAGCTTGTTTACCATTGTTGTTTGTAAGTAGGATCGTTATATGCATTGCAAGATTTCTTCTATCACCACTTTAACTTGTAGGCACATTGTGTGCTTGACAAGTTTCCTACAATGGCTTATTGATGCCTACATTTGCTATATATTGGTCATTTTTGCTTGTAAAGGATTAATGCATTTTGCTTGTTAATTGTACAATATCCTGACATTTACTACATGCTACATTTGTATGTTTGAGGGAATATTACCATTTGTAGGTAGGTTTAGTGTGTTCATTTGCATGTTGATGCTGAATACCAATTGAGCTATATTCACCGCTAGTTTCTTCATATATGTTGATTGGCAAGATGCTATATTCATTACATACTGGCTTCACATTCATAAGAGGTTGCTTCATGCATCTGCAAGCCAACTGGCATTGATTGGAGGGATACTATAACATTTATTGCAAGTTAATGTGAGCTATCGGGTTGCATTCATCATCGATTTATCTACACACGTTGATTGGTAAGTAGCTGCATTCACTTGTACATCTTTTAGTGTTCATGAGAATTGTCTACATATATTTGCAAGCTAGATGACTTCGATCGTAGGGAGAATGTCACATTTTCAAGTTCGTTGTTTGTGCTATTCTTTTAGTTAGTCAGCGCATTCATCAGTAGTTTTCTATTTAGTAATCATATCCATTAAAAGCTCCCTTCGTTGATGCTTTCAAGCTTCATCGCACAGACTTACAGGCTGACTATTATGGACATTACAAGTTTCACATTGTTCATATGTGTTTTATGACATCCACTTGTAGGTTTCATATTCGTACTTGGAGTTTCATTCACCACAGGTCCTTTGTTTGCTCATT